CTGAGGCCGCCACGGTCAGGTTGTACACCGGGATGGTCTCGAAGTCCAGGGGCTCCACAAGCACCAGGGCTCCTTGTGTACGGAGCTGCCCCTCGGCCCAGGCCACCCGGCTCTCCACCTGGAAGGCGTTGCCACCGTTCCCACTGACGATGGTATAGTCGAAGCCGGCGTTCTCCCGGGAGAGGTCGGCATCACCCGCCTCCAGCGTCAGCACAGTGGTGCCCGGGCGCAGGTCCTCGGGGACGCTGGTGTTGTAATGTGGCTCCTGGAAGCGGGGGCTGTGGTCATTCACATCCAGCACCTGGAGCTGCACTGTGGCCCAGGATGAGAGGCTGGGAGAGCCATGGTCATGGGCCTCCACCACCAGATCCAGGGTGGGCTGGCTGGCATCGAACTCCATCTGCCGGGTGGTGAAGAGAGTCCCTGTGGGGCACAAAGCCAGGGTCAGCACAGGGTCAGCAGGAGTCAGGACTGATGTTGGGGTATTGGCTAGAGGAGCAGGTGTTGGGACACTTGTTGGGACACTGCGGCAGGAGCGTTTGATGGCCATCCTGCTGAGTCTGCCTCACCAGACACCCCAGAAAGTGACTTGGTGAGGGGCTGAGCAGGGCCAGCATGGGGGTGCCCCCCTCCACAGACATCCCCAGAGTGACCCGTGAGAGGAGCCCACAGAGCACCAACCCCACCCACCATTGCTGGGGTCAATGGCGACATCAGGGCTGGGCACAGCCAGGCGGAAGGTGACATCCCCGTTGCTCCCCGAGTCGGAGTCAGTTGCGCTCACGGTGAGAATAACGCTGCCAGCAGGTGTGTGCTCTGGCAGCAGCACCTGAAGAGGAGGAAACCTCAGTCAGTGTCTGGTACCCCCTGCCCAGAGCACCCAGCAGGGCTGGGAGTGGGTCTGGGGTTGGCCAGGGAGCCATAGCCAAGGTGGCCCAGCACTTCACTGGCCAGGACAGCCATAACCCAGAGGCCTGTGCTCCTTCAAGCATCCCTGAGGCTCCCCAGCCCCTTGCCTGGGCTCCAGAGCTGCAGCACACACTGCCTGAGACAGCCTTCATCAGGGACCTGTCCGTGGGATCCCAGGTCTCACCACAAACATTTGTCCAGGCTGTGGCCCATCTCCCACCCACTCTGGCCTCCCCTCTGTGCCAGCCCATTCCAGTTGGACCTTCTGCAACTGGTTGTGCCCCTTGCAGGGGCTGGTCCCAGGGTCACCTGTGTGGTTTCAGCCCCTTCTACACCACAGCATGAGGGGTGTCAGGATGTGGTTGGGAGGCAGGAAGCGGGGCCAGGAGGGGCTCAGACCCATCCTCTGTGCAGGTGACCAGGCAGAAGCCGCAGAGGGCTCGTGCGGGATGGCCCGCACCGCCTGGCACACCTGGTGCGCAGTACCTGATAGAAACTCTGGGTGAAGGTGGGCACGTTGTCGTTCACGTCCTCCACGAGGACGGTGAGGTTCGCCTCGGTCTCGTGGCGTGTGTCGGAGGCGCGCAGGGTGAGGGTGTAGTGGCTGCGCTGCTCGTGGTCCAGCGGCCCCGTCAGGGCGATGCGGCCCCCGTAGCGCAGCACCCCGAAGGTGCCCGCTGCATCCCCCTCCAGCAGCAGCGTGTAGGAGAGCGCAGGGCCCGAGTCCACGTCGTTCCCAGTCAGCTGGGCTATCTGGGTGCCCAGCAGCGTGTCTGTGGGGAGCAGAGGCGTAAGCAAGCAGCCCCATCCCCGTGGAGCACACGTGGCTCACCTGGTGGGAAACCAGTTCATTCTAGAGCCTGAGCACCAGAGAGGGGGGTGGATACCATGGGAGAGGGAGATGCTAGGGGAAAGGAGAAGGTCTTGGGAGCCTGGCAGGACAGGTGGAGGTTGGCATGGACACAGAGTACACTGGCTGAGGACTGTGAGCAGGCAGGGCCAGTGCCTGCAGCCAGAGCTGTGGCAGCGGGGTAGGGGCCTGGGCTGAGTTGGGAATTCAGATGGCTTCCTCAGGACACAACTGCACCACAGGGGTTGTGCCAGAGAGCTTGGGGGGCTCAGCCAGAGGGTCGGTGTGACTTAGTCCAGCCTGCCTGGGGGCTCCTCCCCACCCCATAGTGCCCATTACACCCCAGCTCCAGCCCTCAGTGCTGCAGCACTTACTCTCAGGAACACGGATTTCCCAGGGGACCGGGATGGTGGGGCTGTTGTCATTGACGTCCATCACCACCACGGTCAACGTGGCTGAGCCCACGAGTGGTGGCGTCCCTCGATCCATCGCCGTCACCACCAAACTGTGGGCAGGCACAAGGGTCAGACATGTGCCCACATGTGTGAGGGAGCACCTCACACGTGAACACCACCTGGGACGTGCACTGCACACATGCATAGCACCTGGGACATGGACCATAAGTGTGCACAGCACCTGGGATATGCACTGCAGGTGTGCACAGGGCTGGAGCATGTGCATGTGGTGGGGAAACCATGCACAGCAGCTGAGTGTCTGGGGTGATGGATCCGTGAGGAGCATTCCCTGGAGGTGTCTAAGGACAGACTGGACATGACAGTGTCATGGTCTAGTTGACAACATGGTGACTAGTCATAGGTTGGACTCAATGATCTCAGAGGTCTTTTTCAACCTAATTGATTCTGTGATTCGGTGGTCTGGAGAGCATGTGTAGGAGCAGATACATAAAGAGAACGTGTGGGGCAGTGGGTGTGGGTACATGGGGGGCATGCTGGGGCAGGGCAGCAGGTGTATGCACTCCTAAGGCACGTGTTGGAGTCTGGAAAGTGTGTGGGTACAGACAGAGCACCTTGCGGGGTGCAGGCAGGTGTCTGGGGCTCTCTGGCTGCTGGGGAACACTTGGAACCTCTCTGGAATGGTGAGAGGTGTGTGGATGGAAGGAATGCCCCAGGCCTTCCACACTGGGAGACAGGAGAGAGGGACCCACATCCACCGAAGCCAAGTTGGGGGGAGAAAATGGCCTGGGGGGCCACACCTGAGCCAGGTGTGTGGGAAAGGGCAGGTAAAGACTCAGACTCTCAGTGAGGCGTTTGCCAGCATTTCATATATGTGCAGGCAGAGTGGCTGAACATGTTCAGAGCGTGCACACATGGAGAGGGGCTCAGAGGGCCTGGCTGGATGCAGGGGACATCTGGGGGGGCTCAGTGTAGTGCAGCGGCCTGGAGCCATGCGGCAGGACACAAGGGTGCTGTGCTCCGAGGTGGGAAGGGATTGAGCAGATGTGGTGTGGATTAAGCAGGCAGGAAGGGAGATGAATGAGCCCAGGGCCCCCTCACAATCTCCTCAGCTCTGCAGAGACCCAGCTGGGCCATGCTTGGGCTCATCTTGGCCATCTGCCTCCTGTGTCCTTCACTCCCACACTCACACTGACCCTCAGCTCCTGCTGCTTGCAGAGCCATTTCACAGCCAGGCTGGGACAGCTTTGGGGGCACCATGGACAGTGTCCCCCATGCCTTGGGGCTGTGCTGCACAGCTCTGCTCTGTCCTTGCACCCCCCCAGCCGGGCTGCACTCACCGGGTCTGGGACCAGATCTCCCTGTCCAGGATGGCAGTGGTGGTGATGGTGCCGGTCTGAGGGTCGATGTGGTACAAGCCTGGCATTGGCAGGGACTGGTTGATGGCGTAAGTCACCTGCCCATTTGCTCCCTGGTCCAGGTCATCTGCCAGCACCTGCAAAGCCACATAAGATTCAGCTGTGGAGCCCCTGAGGCAGGACCTGTGTACAGGTGCCAGGCCCAGGCCCGTGTAGCCCCCACCCCCTCACCCCACCCAGGCCAGGGCTGAGGCGTCCCTGTTTGTGCCCCAGCCCTACCTGGATGACAGGTGAGTCGTAGCTCTGTGACTCCCAGATGAACGCCACGTAGTTCTGCAGCTGGAAGCGGGGCAGGTTGTCGTTCACGTCCTGGAGGTTGAGGTTTATGGCCATAAAGCCAAAGGAAGCCACGGTCTCTGCCTGGATCACCAGGCGCAGCCGAGGGCTGGCCTCGAAGTCCAGACTGCTGGAGTCCTGCACCGAGATGGCACCTGGGAGGGGGAACAGTGGGATGGGGAAGTGAAGGGGGGGGTGATGCACTAGCATGTCCACCTCTCATCCATCCCTCCCTCGATTCATTCCTCCATTCATCCATCCCTCCCTCTGCCCATCCATCCATTCTCAGATGGACAGGACAGATACATCGAGCCCTTCCCAGCCCTCCCCACATTGGCAGCTTCTCATTGTCCCTGAGAACTGCCTCGGGTGATAAATTCCACATCTTGCTGGGGACAAGCACCTCCTGCTGACATTACAGCACGTGCCAGTCCCCCCACCTGGAGACCCCCCCAGAGGTGTGGAGCAGAAAGAGCTGTTCCTATCATGACACAAGCTCATCCAGCTCTGAGCCAGAGTCACCTCACTGCAGCTTTGAGTCCAGTAAGAACCTTGCAAAAGGCTCTAAGGACAGACACCCACTGCCACCACCCTGAGCCATGGGCACCTTGGCTGCTGCAGCAACAAGGTGTTGCTATCCTACCTAGGAAGGAGGATGGCAACCAGCAGGATGTACTAAACCAGTTGGCAGCATTCCTACAGGCATGTGTTCACATGGAACAAAGGGGAACTGAGCTCCTATGGCTGAATTCCTGCCCCAGGAGTCCTGCGGAGCCTCTCTGCAGCCTGTTCCAGCATCCACATGAAACAAGCAGCTGAACCACTCCAGTGGCAGGGATGCAGTGGCAGCATCTGGAACAGTTGTGTGGCTTTGGACAAGCCTGGCCTGTGTGAGAGCTCTGCCACCAGCTTTGCATGGGGACATGGTGACAAGGGTTCCAGGGCACACAGTGAACCAGGGCACATGTCCAGGAGCGGACATGGGTGGCAGCTGCCCACACAGGGGCCTGGTTTGGGGAACAGCCACGTCCTCACCTCCCACCACCTGTGGGCTGGGAGCTGACTGCTCTGTTGTCTCCCTTGCACCCCCTGCCTCTGTAACCCTGCTGGGCAGCTGGCACAGGGCAGGGGTCAGATCCATGCCAGCCCTTCTGGTCTCCTCACTCCTCCAACCCCTCATGTCTGCCTACAGCACTGGCCCCTTGCCCTGGGAGAAGGCAGGGCAGCATCACAGACAGGCGTACAAGACTCAGAGACAGACATGTTTTAAGGGAAAAATCTTGTATTCTGGATGCTTTGCTGAGGGCAGTGTTTCCTCAGTGGAATGAAGTGGCACTGCCACAGTGACCGTGCGGAGCCAGGATGTGCCCAGGGTGTTCTGGGAACCATGGGCACACGTGGCTCGAGCAGGGGCACGACAAGGGGATGCAAAGGAATAGGGATGATGGGGAGTGGTTCTGTGCCCCCACAGCAGTGTGCCATGCAGTCCAGTGTCACAAGAAGTGCAGCAGAGTCCTGCTCACACAGCTCCATAGCCATGTAATGCTCACTTCCAAACTTTAGGCTCACACAGACCCACTCCTGCATTTGCAGCAGGAAACCTGCAACTCAGACCGCTCAGGACTTGGTGGGGCCACGGCTGTGTGGGGGCTGAGACCCCCTCTTAGGATGCAGGGGGCTGACCTGGCCTCCCTGCAGTGCTGTGCTGGGGGAGGGGGGGCTTGCGGTGACACCAAGGTGCCGGGGGGGCCGTACAGTGGCTGACGGGACGCGTGGTGACAGTGGACTGCTACAGGCACCCTGATGTCAGATGGGCTCTTCTGCATGGCTGAGCATTGCCTGCTGTGCCCATGGGTGACTGACAGTGGCCAGTACTTGGTCATGGTGCCGAAGGATGCACACTGTGCTCTGCCACGGGTGGCTCACAAACACCTGCACAGTGGCCATGGGCTGAAGAGGGCACAGGCACAGTGTCAGTGAGATCTCTTGGGTCTTGTCCCAGACCTAACCACCCCACAGGCACAGGAGCTTTAACAAGAAGTTCCTGCTGGATGTCTGGGCTCCGAGGACCATCTTTTTCCTGTCACAGAATCTCAGACTGGCTTCAGTTGGAAGGGACCTTAAAAGGTCATCTAGTCCACCCTCCTGTCATGGGCAGGGACACCTTCCCCTATCCCAGGTTGCTCCAAGCCCTGTCCAACCTAACCTTGAACACTTCCAGGGATGGTGCATCCACAGCTTCTCTGGGCAACCTGTGCCAGGGCCTCCCCACCCTCACAGGGAAGAATTTCTTACCTATATCCCATCTAACGCTGCCCTCTGAGATTTTGAGGAAAGGTCCAGTTATGGGAGGACCACAATAGCACTGGGAGCAGTGCTAACAGCCACTGGACAGTGACAGGGCAGTGTCCCCATCCCAGTCCCAACACCTCTCAACTGACGGATACAGAGTTGTGGGCAGTGTTCCTGTGCCCTGGGGGCCGCTGAGCAGCCAAGCAGGCACAGGCAGAGCTCCCCAGGTGTTCCTGGAGCTGTACCTGAGCTAGGCTGGATAAGGAAGGTGTTCCTCTCATTGCCGCTGACAATGCTGTAGGTGATGCGCCCCGAGGAGCCCCCAGTGTGCACAGCTTGGACACTCGCCACTACAGTGCCTGGGAGAGAGAAAAGGTGTGAAGGGACAGCAGAGACTCAGGACAGGTGGCAGAGGGTCAGGGTGGCATGTAGCAGCATGTGCTGTACCACAGGAGCACCGCTCTGCCCAAGGACACTGCTGACAGGGAACACAAATACTAATGGTAATGTTGGGCTGGGAGCCTGGAGTTGTGGCACCTTTCCACGGCCCCTCTGTGGTCTGTGACCCTGGAGACCTTCCAGGAGCACCTGGGTGTCTGTGGCTGCCTACAGTGATCTGAAAACCCTGAGGCCAGCCCACAGGAACACCACCCTGACCAGCCTGGGCACCAGTCAGACCATGCGGTCCCTTGGGTCTGCCCAAAGCATAATGGGGCTTCTTCAGACCCTGCAGTGCTCCCTGGTCTGAGTTCCCCACAGCATTGCTCCCACCTCCCCTCCCGCCCTGTCCCATTCCATAACAGTGCTTGCTCTCACTGCCAGCAGGTACCTGGGGCGGCATTTTCGGCCAGGACCACATCGCTGGTGCCACGGGGAAAGCGCAGCCCCCGGTATGGCTCCTCCTGCACATGGATCACGACCACCCCAGTGGAGGAGAGCGCCGGCTGCCCCAGGTCCGTGGCCAGGACAAAGAGTGTCCGCTGGCGCTGGCTGAGTGAGCCCAGAGACTGCAGCAGCTGGATGTCCCCCGTGTAGGAGTTGATGGCGAAGGCAGAGCTGGGGGTGGTGAGTCGGTACAGGATGGAGGCATTGGCACCTGCGTCCCTGTCCTCGGCCCTCATCGTGGCCACCACCTGTTTGAGCGGCGTGTGGCGGGACAGGTTGACGGTGAGCGGGCTGTGCAGGAAGGCCGGGGCATGGTCATTGACGTCTCGCACTGTGACGGTGACACGCACGGCCGTGCTCTTGGGCTCCCATGGTGCTGAGTCCACCGCCTTGGCCAGGAAGCTGTAGCTGGGCTGGCGCTCCCGGTCCAGCACCTGGGTGCTCTGGATGCGCCCGCTCTGTGGCTCCACCTGGAACATGCCCAGTGACTCATTGCCCAGGTAGTAGGAGACCTGCCCATTGGTGCCCTCGTCGGGGTCCTCGGCCACCAGCTGCAGCACCAGGGCACCGACTGGCAAGTCCTCTGGCACCTCCACTGCATAGGTGGCCTGAGCAAAACTGGGTGTGTTGTCATTGAGGTCCAAAACCTGCACAGTCACCGACATGGTGGCACTGCGTGGGGGGGAGCCGTGGTCCTGCACCACCACGGTGAGGCTGTAGGAAGCAACTTGCTCCCGGTCGAGGGCACGTGCAGTGGAGAGGACACCAGAGATGGGGTCTAGGCTGAAATCCTGCCCAGGGTCTCCATCTGGAAGAGAAGACGGGGAATAACAAGGCACCATGACAATAACTGGAATGAGGAAGGCCCTGGACAGCAGGAAGCCCACCACCATGTGGCCTGGGAGGGTGAGGAGAGTAAGCCCCAGTGGGACTAAACTTCCTTGGGTCAGGTCCATTTGCAGAACTGACTCCAACCACACATAGGCCAGTGCTGCTGTCATGGAGGCTCCCTAGATAACATGTGGCAGGATACAGCAGAGAGCTTACTTCGCAACCTGTGAATTCACAGGTCAGAGCAGCCAGGAGAGGTGTGGAACTGGTCTAAGCCTGGGAAACCAGACATGAGCCTGGGGAATGAGGAGCGGAGCCTGTCCAGACCCTGGGGTGCTGTTTACTGGGGGCAGAGAAATTCAAGGGCTTAGAGGTGGCAGCAGTGCCATGCAGTTTGGAGCAGGAGAGAACTGAGGTGGGAACAGGACCTGCCGCTGTTGATGTCCCCAGAGCCAGGGGAGCACAGAAGAACCACCCTTACCCAGCCCTGCGCTCCCACTGCACCTCACCTGCCACTCTGTATTCCAAGCGCCCGTTCTCTCCGCCGTCGGGATCGGTGGCCCGCAGGGTGTAGAGTGCTACACGGCTCTGGTTCTCGGGGACCTCCACAGAGCAGGACTCGCTCTCCAGCTGTGGTGCATGGTCATTCTCATCGCCCACTGTGATCCGCACGGTGGCCTTGGCGAGGCTGGGGGGCAGGCCGGCGTCCCGCGCGTACACTGCAGGACACAGAGAGCGCCCCGCCGACAGGGAGCTACGGCCTCGGCGCCCATGTGCCAATACCCAGGCATGGGAGCACCAGCATTCCTGCACCTCCAAACCACCCCACAGCCCTGCTGTGCCCCATAGACCCCCT